CTTTTCATCTCCAAAACTTCTTTTCCCCATGATCCTGCCCCATTCTCTGCAGCCCCCTTCCCATGCTGTGATGTGGCAGCCAGAGGATGGGATGGCTCAGGGGCCTCTGCATGGGTGCCTTGCAGGGCAAGGTGGCCTCAGAGCAGCAGAGCCTGCGAGATGCTTTCACGCAGCTGCAGGAGTTCCTGCAGGAGCAGGAGGATGTCCTGCTAGTCCAGCTTGGCCAGGTGCATGAGGAGCTCAACCAGGAGCGCTGCAGATACATCTCCAGCATTTCAGAGAGGGAAACGCTGCTGGACACGCTGATTGCGGAGATAGACAGGAAATGTGACCAGCCGATGGCTGAGTTCCTTACGGTGAGGCTGCATTACTCACCTGGGCGCTGCAACCATCCCTGGTGAGACTGGGGGCACACTGCATCCTGGGGCCCATGCAGCCTGGCAGTGAAGAGCAGTGCGGTGCTGGCTGGGCTGTGACACTGCAGTGTGTGCGGTGTGAGGTTGGGCCTGCAGCGTGATCTGGGGATTTGGGCAAGTGACTCACTGGAGAGTGCTCAGGAGATTGGTGTGACCCCCCCAATCCCATCTTCATGCAGCAGGGGAGCTGCTGTAACTCACTGCTGCAGGGACCATGGTCCTTCCTGCTAGTGCCAGAGCTGACCTAGTGTTTCCTCTCTTCCAGAATGTTGGCGAAATCCTGGACAGGTATGAAATGGGCTCCGCATCACTCTCTTCCCACATGGCTCTTTTGGGCAGAGGTTTGGGAACACTGCAGCCAGCTGCAGCAGCCAGGAGAGAGGTAGCTTTGCCCTGCTGGGCATTTGGGATTTAACAGGATGTTATATGGAACCAGAGACCATGGCACCCCTGTTGAAGACAGGGTTCTCATGCCAGTAGCTGGGGCACAGCTCCCTGGAGTTCAGGGCTGTAGGGGATTTTCCCTCCTAGCCCACGTGCTGACTGACTGCTGGGGTCAGAGCTCCTCTCCATGTTTTTTCCCCCTCAGGTGTGAGGCAGTGAAGACCCCGATCCCCGATCCGGTTTCCCCGGGGCTGGAGAGGACTCTTGAGAGGCTCTTTCAGAGTACCCAGATGCTCATAGCTGTGATGGCCGAATTCAAAGGTAAAGCAAAGCAGCAGCAAGCAATGCCTTGCTGTGTAGCTGGTGTCCAGGCCCCAGGTGGGTGTGCTGCTGTCTCTGCTGTGCTTCCCTGGGCTCAGCTGCAGAAGTTGATCCTCACCACCATGGTCTGGGAGCAGAACACGTCTGCTCCAGATGGGACCCTCCTAGATGGACTTTGCTGGAGCCTGGGGCTGTGGGAGCTGGGGAGCAAGCTCCACATCTGTGGCTTGCTGTCCTTATGGGGAACAGAACTGCTGCAAGAATCTCATGCATCTTCCTTTCCCTCCTCCAGTGAGCCTGCTGAGTAAGATTGACAGAGAAAGGGGTGAGTTTCTGGAGCTCGTGGGCATAAATGAGGGAGAAAAGCTTTCCAGGATGAGTTTCCTTGTGTCCTTGGGTGCAGAGCTGGACTCACACCACAACTTTTAACTCCAGGGTCTGTCTAAAACCAGGTCCCTTCATTTTGACTATAAAAATCCAGGTCTGTCCCTACGCCAGGCAACACCCAGGCACCAGCCGAGAGCCGGGATAGTATGAGTCCCTCAGCTTTCCTGTTGCTGGAGACTTTATTGTTCTGTTATGTGTAAGACTGTGAATAGTTAAGCAGAGGAGCTCAGTGCATTTTGAGCTGGTTTCAGGCACAGATTTGAAATGCTTTTGCAGGTGCTTTGGGTCCACATGGTCCTGGCAGCATTGCAGAGCTTGGTCTCTGCCCTCTCAGGTTTTGGGATGAGAGACCTGACACACAGTGCAGTGCAGCCTGTGTCAAAATCTGGGGCTACAGAGGAGAGGGTTTGGCAGAAGTTCTGGGGTGGCATTGTGCGGTGACACCTCTGTGGCCTTGTGGGATGGCCGCGGGATGGCAGCAGAACATTCCACATGAACGGGCATTTCCGGCTCTGCAGTGAGACTGGCTGGCTACTCGGTGGAGCAGGGTTAGAAGCTGTTGAGTCACTGGATCAGGGACTGCCATGGCACCACTGCTGCCTTGCAGGCAATGCTTCCTTACACCCGTGGAGGTGTATAACTCCCCCACACTCAGCCTTACTGTAGCCCCACAAACTCAGAGCCAGCAGTATTCTGGAATCAGGTTTATCAAGGCCCATCATGTCTGTCCCCTGCGTGTGGGGACCCTGCCTGTCTCAGTCCCGCTTCAGAAAGCATTGCTTCTCCAATGGGTCCCACTGGGGAGGGCATCAAGCGTCCTGTGTCACATGCCACCAAAGGGGGCTGCGGGTGCTGTATGTGTGTACTCATGGGGCATGTGTGCCCACTGTGCTCATGGGACATGTCCCAGCCCCAGGGCAGAGAAGGGAGAGGTGCTGGTTCACTCCTCAGCACGCAGTAGACTGATGGTCTTCTCTGTTGTTCATTAGAGAAGGTATGGCTGGACCCAGAGACAGCGAGCCCATACCTGAACCTCTCAAAGGACTGCAAGACCATGTGGCTGGCAAGTGGAGAGCAAGAACTCCATGACAACCCTAAGAGATTCACGGGCAGCCCCAGTGTCCTGGGCTCCAAGGGCTTCACGGACGGGAGGCATTACTGGGAGCTAGAGGTAGGGCATGGGGACAGCTGGGCCGTTGGTGTGGCCCTGGAATCCGTTCAGAGGAAGGACTCGCTCAGCCGGGCCCTGGGGAAGATCTGGGCCCTGCGGCTGGACTGGAATCGCCAGTACACGGCACTACACATGCCCCCCACCCCACTGGAACTGAACCAAGAGATCCGGAAAATCAGGGTCCACCTGGACTATGAAGGGGGCGAAGTAACCTTTTATAATGCAGAGAACATGATGCGGATCTTACAGTTCAAGGCCACCTTCACTGAGAAGGTCTTCCCATACTTTTGGCTCTGGTCACAAGAAACCTACATCCAGCTGTGTGCCTGATGGGGTCGGATGCCTCCTGGTCCCTTGCCTGTGCCCTTGCCTAGCTGAGCAGGCAAGAGGTATGAAAATGATGCACCATCAATTTGCAAACTCCCTGCAGTTGGATCTCCTCTGTGTGTTGTTGCACCTCCCCCCGCCAGGTACTTTGGAACATTAAAGCAGTGCTGTCCTGCCTGGGGGTGTCTGCATGCTGGTATCCTGGTCAGATCTTGCAGTGGCAGTGGTCCCCCTGTCCCTGTGATCACTGAGGACACAGAGAGATAAGCAGGAGGGAGGCAGGGAGGATGTTCTGATTGCCCATGGTGGTCTTTGGCAGGGCTGCATGGCTTGCTTGGTTCAGTATGGGGTGCAATCACTTTGCAGGCAGGAACAGGTTGGAGCCATGGAGGTGCTAATTGTGGTGGTAACTGCTGATGAGAAACTGTAAAAACCTGCTTGAAAGGAAAATACTGAGGGAGGGGACAGGGCTGAGTGGAGTGCTGGAGAGAGGGCACAGTCCAAGCCTCTCCATGCTAGAACGACAGGGCAGTGGGGATGTGATGGGAATCTCTGGGATCCTGGGTGGTCAGAGAGAAAGCACACCAGAAACCAGGAGCACTGTGTGGATGTGGTGGATGGCAGGGCCTGGGCAGAAGGACATGGGTTGTGTCCTGTAGGTGTGGGATCCCCTGACAGTAAGTTATTTTTCTTCTTCCCTAGTAGCTGGTGCAGTGCTGTGTTTTGCCTTCAGTCTGAGAACAATGCTGATAACGCACCTATGTTTTAGTTGTTACTCAGTAGCACTCAGCCTGACTAAGGACTTTTCAGTCTCTCATGCTTTGCCAGTGAGGAGGGGCACAAGAAACCGGGAGGAAGAAGAGACAGGACACCTGACCCAAACTAACCAAAGGGGTATTCCATACCACAGCATGTCATGGCCAGTGTATAAACCGGGGGCAGTTACCTGGAAGAGACAATCACTGCTTGGGTTGGGCTGGGTATCGGTCAGTGGGTGTGGGTGGTGAGCGACTGAGTTGTGCATCACTGCTGTTTATTGGGGTTTTTTCCCCTTTCAGTTTTACATTCTCTTCCCTTGTTATTTCCATTATTATTATTATTATATTATTAATGTTATACTTCAGCTATTGGACTGTTCTTATCTCAACCCTGGTTAGGGTTGGAAAGGACCTTAAGATCATCCAGTTCACTGTGTTTCTACACTTGTGGGACTGTTTTTGGAGCTGGCACTGCTCCCCCTGCACCCCTGGTGTCCACAATCTGAGGCCTGAGGGATGACCCATGCAAAGACTCCCTTCCCCACAGCACAACCATTGCGGCCTCCATCCTGCTCAGTGATGGCGGGCAGGGGACAGAGAAGGGATTAGGCAACGCAGGCAATAAGCCCTCTGAAAAGTTGGGCTTGTTTCCATTTTTAAGGCAAATAGCAGTGCCTGGGTAAATGCCAGAGTCTCTTGAAGGTAGTGGTTGAGAGCAAGGTCTGTCGCGGTCAGAGCGTGACCGTTTTCCCTCATCGTTCCCAGGTTTACCCGCTTCCCCTCAGGCCCGGGGCGGTTGGAGGCACGGTTAAACGGACAGGGTCAGAGATGTAGCGGATAAGCTGGGGTCTGCGTGAGGCGGGGACTACATTTCCCAGCATGCACCGCCGAGGAGGGGAACGGCGCTGCATGCTGGGAAATGTAGTCTCCACCTTGGCAGTAGCGCTGCCCAGCGGCACCCTCTTGTCTGGCTTCTCTATTGGTCAGGAGTGGCATCAATCAACAGCTGGAGGCGGGGAGTGGGCCACCCGCCTCTCTTCTTATTGGCCAGAACGAGGGCGGTGGGCGGGAGGATATGAGCGAACTTCTTCGCCCACTTTAAACGTCATTTAGGGACCGGTTTTGATTGGTGGAGGGGACGTTTGGCGCCAGCTTCGGAGCGGGCGACGGGTAGCGGCTGCAGTCAAAGCAGTGCTGGCCGCGCTGACAGTAGGACGGTTCGGCTCTGCTCGGTTCGGCTCATTCGCTTCCATGGATTCCGCACTGCGCGGTACCTTCCGCCGCCGCCTCCTACTTTTCTCTCCGGTCTCCTCCGCTTCACCCGCCGTGGTCAAGGTTCTCTTTCCTGACAATTTCTCGCCGGTCTCCAACCTCCGCCTCACCATGGAGCAGCTGGGACGCGGGTCAGTCAAAGCCCGGGCCCTTTCTGCTGTCCCTGGGGATCCCCCTCTTTTTTTTTTTTTTTTTTTTTTTTTCTGGCTGAGAGGCTCTACCATGCTCCCCCCTAACAACCCCCCAAACGGGCCCTCCAGGGCCTCTTCCTCCCCCGTCTTCCCTCCCTGACCCGAAGCGAAGCCTGAGGGAGCTCCCCCTTTACCCCCCGACCGCCATACTAGGTCTCAAGGGTTCCATCTCCTCTATCCCACACCAAAAGCAAGGCCTAGGAGAGCAATTCCTCCTCCCCCCATTTCAAAGCTAGGACTCGCGCCGTTGTTCTTCGTCCGTTCCTCACGCGCCCCCCCCAACTGCCTCAACCGCACTAAGATCTTGTGGACCTTTTCTTCGACCCACCCCCAAATTTAAGGCCTCGAGAAATATTTCTCTCCCCTTTTCCACCCCAAGCAATGCGCCGGGGACCTCGTCTACCCTCACCCCCTAAAAAAGTGAGGCCTCGTGCATCTCTTCTTCCTCCCTAATGGAGGCCTTGAAGATCTCTTAATCTCCTTCTCCCTTCAGACGTGAGGCCTCGAGGACCTCATCTCTTATTCTCTCATTCCAAGCACCCCCCATTCTTAACACTAAAATCTGGAGCACCTTTTCCCCTCTCCCCCCAAATGAGGCCTCGAGGAGCTGTTTCTCCCTGTCTTTAGACCCCCCTCTCCCCCGCACGCCCCCAGTTAGGCCTCCAGGAGTTCTTCCTATGTACCCCCATGCCATCCTTGCAAACCCAGGCTTTCCATTACTCCCTTAACCCCCACCTTTTCTGATGCCTTCACCCCTGCTGAGCTCCACTCCCCCTCCCACCCCTCCTTCCACCAAATAGCCCCCTCTCTGCTTAAGCAGCACAGAGACTGCCACCCCCCCCCTCATTCCCGCGGGAGCTCCTGCCCACATGTGGCTGTGGTCCCGATGCTGTGGGCCATCTTCTCCCTGAGTGTCCCTCCACGTGCCACCGTCTTCCCCTGGTTCTGCTCTGGGTGTCTGCCTCACTTCTGAGCCCCATGTTGGGTGCTTTCCCTTATCCCGCAAATTACTGCTGGTACCTTTGTGTCTGTCCTTCCTGCCTCCTGTACCGCATTAGCTGCAGTATCTCAGCTCTGTTCTTGCTTCCGTTTGCCTGGCTCCCGTGCACCCACTCCTCTCTTTGCCATTTCACATATGGGAAGTGCTGCAGTCTCTGAGCTCTGCAGCTCCTCTCCACAGAGCTGCAGCCATGCAGTTGCTCAATCCCATTTTGCTGTTATTGGTTGTAACTCGTTTAATCTCATTATTCCTGCAGTAACCTCTGCAGTTTGCCTCTTGTATAGTTTCTGTTTTGCCCTGGCCTGCTCTGGTCTTGTTTGTTCTCCTAGTATTTGTCCTTTATTTTCTGATTTTCTATCATTCTTGTTTCTGTAATCACCTGCTTTCTTTATGATCCTTCCCTCCTTCAGATTCCTGAAATTCCTGCAAACAATTTGCACAAGTCCCCTCTGTTTCATTCTTGTGTCCTCTGAGTTTGTAGCCCTGGCTTATGCCCTGGTGCATTTTTTTTTCATTAACCTATGTGATGGAGGAGCAACACTCGAGTAGCTTTTCCTTTCTTTAAGGTAATCTGGAATAAGGCTACATGTGATACATACATCTCTGTACTGAAGCTGCTGTGACCCCTGCCCATGTATGAAATGACTCTGTGTTTGATGCTTGGTCAGGCAGGAGGTGCCTCAAGCCTCTTCACCTACGGAATTATTTAGACTGGTCTGATGGTTATGTGAGCAGAGAAGACCTTGCGTAGTTGATAAAACAAAATTTGAGAGCTAACTACTTATAAAAATGAGTTTGAGTTAGAATAGTGTTAATTTTTCTGTGCAGGCATTAATTAAATGAGTGACTGCCAAAGAGAGGGCTGCAGTCCTGAGAAGGATAATGGGACTCTGGAGACTGGTGTGGGAGGTGCAAATGTGATTCCAGGCATCAGTAACCTATGACATACTTAAACTGGTTTTAGTCCTAAAGTTCTATTGCAAAGTCTGCCACTTAGTTATATTAGAACCTTCATTGTGAAGGCACCAGCTCAGGACAGGCTCTAAAATGTTCAAAACACCCCTCATAGCACCTGATGGAGAAAAGCTTGGTGCGAGGTGACCAGAAAGGTAACCAGGATAGTTACTGTCTTAGATGACACTCTCCTGTCCCTGCTTTGGAAGCCTAACTTCTGCTATTATCCACAGTGCATGTGCAGGTTTAAAAACCCAGAACCTGAAGTGTTAGTCCCTGTAGGGGTTAGATCAGTGTATTTATAAGCCATGGTGATCTGGTGGTGTCATTGTCCTTGTACTTGAGAGCACACAGAACACAGGAGACTGCAGTCTGTAGGACTGCCAAGCTGGAATCCTTCCATTTGGCCATTGATAATGGCTTTGAGGTATGATTACGTGTGCCGTATGTTTACAGGCAGGCACTCTTATATGGTATCTATTGCTGCAATGAGCATTTAAAACAAATACCTATTTTCTTTTACAGCCAACATGAAAAAGCTGAGCATGATCTAGGAAACAAGAATACTAGTAGTTTACAAAGAACTGTGTCATCGGAATCGACAGACTCAGGTATGGCTTTCTCAATTAATAAATAACAAGTAAGAAAGGAGAAGTGTCCTATCTTTACACAGCTTCCACTACAAGCAGCTTCCAGGGTGTGGATAGAGAATTTTTGCTGCCTGCAATCGCTGCAACCACTTCTCATGCTTAAAAGGAGGGAGGCAGGCAGGCCATTACTCGGCAAGCTTCTGCAGTTCATGCAGTTTGGGTTGTGGATGTTTTTTTGGTTTTTTTTTGTTTGTTTTTTTTTGCTTAAGTTGTCTTGGAGTATGTTAGTAGTAGAGCTATATGGAGGAAAAACTGGTTCAGCCCCCTCACTGGGGGACTCTGGCAGAAGGGCTTTTTCCTTTTTTTCTTAGGATGGCTGTTGAGACATGGTTGCTGACTTGTCACGCTTTGTACTGAAGTGTGATGTTTATCACTACCACTTTCTGATTGCTTTGATGTTCTGCTCCATACATGGTAGTAGGTAAACAACTTATCATGAGTGTATCGGCCTTCCTTGCAGCAGAGACAGCTGAAGATGAAGCCTGCTGAAGATAGCTCAAGATAGGCTTCATTGGGGAATTGGAATCCCACCATTCTCTAGTCTGTGGTGTCTTGAGATATTGGCTTGGGGGTGTTTAGAGTTGCATGTTGGGGCTGTGGTCTAAAAAATGGGGAGATAGTGTTTTACCCTTCATTGTTAGGATCCATCACATATCTGTTTTTGTCTGTGAATGGGGCTCACTTGAGTTTCTGGAGGGTGATAACTTTGAAATACAGTCATCACTGTGTGTTTTCTCTCTTTAAACCCAAACTGTGGTAACCTGCTCTGCATGCTTGAATAGAGGCCATTGAGCAGGGTTTGTCTTGTGGTTTGGGGTTTTTTGGTGGCAGTTATCATGAGCTGATTGTTTGTATGAAACCTGAAATACTGATACTTGCCTAGAAGTGTGTGTTTATCCTTGTTTTTCAGATGAGATGCTTTATCGGTGAAAATGAAATAAGCCATTACCCCATAACTCATAGAGTCAGGGAAGCTTCTGATACTTCACTGGTCCAACCCAGTGATGGGAATCAGTGTCTCCAACTGAATTTATATACCAGTCTGACTGTGCATGGTATTTTCAGCCTTCAAAGGAGCTTTATGAACCGCTAAAACACAAGTATAGCTCACAAACCACAGAGCAGGATAAAATAACCAAGCTTGCTAAATCTTCGCTTTCTTCTTGGCTTTTTTGTTTCTGTCTCCAAAGCAGGTCTTAAGTGCTTACAAAACACTTATGATTAAAGTTTCTGCTGTGCTGAGACCACTTCCTGTCAATGTTAGTCAAGTTAATTCTTTGTAGTTGTTTGTTTAGAATGCAGTCACTGAAACAGCAACAAGTCTTGTCATGATGGTATAGAGAGTACCCAGTACACTGCTGGCCTATCACTAGGTCTTGTGAATATGATACAAAAACGCCTTGGGGAGCCTGTGTTTAAGTAAGCTTCACACTTGGCTGTACTTAGATGCTATGTAGCTGGAATGTTTAGCTTGGTTTGTGCTTACAAAGTGCTTGCTATTGTTTCCAGTACGCTAGCAGGCATTAAGAAGGGCATTTTGACTACTTGTTTTCGAATGAGCCAAAAATTTCTTCCTATGAAGAGGTGTAAATAAAAACATAGCTTAAAAAACCCTAAAGGACTAAGTTGTTAAAGATGTGTGTGAGGGAGAATAAGCCAAGAGTGTTCCATGTTATGTGTTAGCACTCTGGTCTCTGTGATGTTCTAGACAGGGCTTAGAGGTGCTTTTTTTTAATTACTCCTATTTTACCTGAAGCACTAACCCTTGATTATGGCAAAAGCCAGTGCTATGGAGTATCTGTAACTGTTATTTACTTCTACACTGAGGTGAGGCTGCAGATGGGGCTTTCTGCATTAGTTTCCAGCCTAAGCTCGTGGTCTCTCTGAGGAAATCTGTAACAGTGTCCAATACTTTGTATTTCCTAGCTAATGCTCAATAGAAAACATTCTGTTATCTCTCTTCTTTCAGGTTGTGCTTTGGATTCACCTGTTCCTGCATCCTCAAATGATATCATGGAGGAAACGTATGTAACTGTATGCTTGTGGCGTTTCACATTGTGCCGTTAGCAAATGTAGGCTAATAAGAGTCTTGATGCAGCTTTTCCTTTGCTGACACATGTGCAATGGGCTCTTGTCTCTGAAAAACTTCTGCAGCGCTCTGCAGCTTGAGCTGCTAGGGTTTCTGTCTTGTCTGCATCCTAGAGTACATAACAAGTCTTGGGTCTGGGTTAATTTATTGTACCAACCAGACTGTTTGAGCATGACATGGGCACCTTACCAGCAGGCTGAGGCTGCACCAAATTGCATGTAAGTTGCAGTTGTCACTCAACACTTAAACTATAATTTATGCTTCCATATGTTCCTACTGATACCAGGCAGTTGCTCTGAGCTTTGCATTTGCCGCTCTCAATTAGATCAATTTTTTCCCTTAACTTTCTGTTGCTAGGGATGGGGCAGATGCTTCTGGTCACTCACGTACTGAGCTTTTCTTCCTTCAGCCTAGCATCTTGTCTAAATGCTGCTGAAAAGAACTTAAGGAAAGGAGGGGGAGAAAGGAGTCTAGCTTATGTTCTAAGAACTAGGATGGTATCAGCTGGCTATAAATAGCTTTTAAGAAAGACAGTGTCGTCAAGCAGTATCTTGGCTTCTGCTTAGCATAACACTTCTTGAGTGAAAATGAAAGTTGATTTTTAGTGTACTGTGCTTTGGTGCTAACTGTGGGGCATCATGCTTGCTTTTAGGTTTGAGAAAGCAATTCTTGAATCCAGCAGACTGAAGTAAGTGTATTTCTACTTCCAACTCCTTTGTCAGTGACTGTGGTAGCTTGTGGAGTTTTATGGGGGGGTAGGAGGAGAAGCGAGTTCTACCCGTGTTAGAGTCTTTTAAAACACGTTGAAATAAATCTTTTTGATTCTTTTTTGTTGTAGCGTTCGGATGCCTTTCAGAAGAATCCATTCTCTGCCAGTAAGTGAGCTTGGTATTGGTGTTCTATAAATATTAAAGAATTTACTATATTAAATGCTTTTAGTTAGATACATTCTATAACTTGTTAATTTTCTGGCTGCAAGAACAGCTAGTGTGGCAGTTAATGAAAACTGTCAGAATTACAGCATGTAAACTCAATATCTCATTTAAGTTAGCACGAAAGATCAGTGATGTGGCTCTGTCACTGCTGCAGCTGATGCATTTTGGTACCTGAACCAAGATATGTATCAGCATTTACTCCTGCACAGAGTTTGCAGTTGGAGTCTTTACAGTCTTTATTAACCACTCTTTTGTTTTAAATGCAGTTGTGCAAAGACATATATTGCACAATACTGAACTGGCACTTCTGTATGAATATTGTAGCAAAGCCTCCTGGGATCCAGTCCTGCTCTGAAGAGAAACCTTTCTGATTCCCTGGATGACGATGCTTTTCAACTGTTGGAACAAGATGAAAAGGAGAATGTAAGCATTGCTTTCCATTGCTGTGATGACAGGCATAAGAGGTGGTACTGCGAGAGCTGGATTAGCACACCCCTTTAACAGTGGATGTGGTGGAAAAGGCTTCTTTTCCCCTCTCCAGGCAGTAGTTCAGACATAACAAAGTTTTGCATAGCTTATCTCCAGGGAGCTTGCAGTGAAGTGCAACAGCACTGATCATAGTGACTGCAAGCTGATTATACGTTCACAAAAAATCTGGAAGACTTTGGTTGCCCAGCTCTACTTTTGTGCTGCTGAGCCTGACTCCTTTTAGGCCGTGGCAAGGGAAAATATATTCATGCCACTCACTTTAGATAGCTATGAGGGGTGCCTCTAGAAAGCTGTTTCAATAGATCACCCCATCTCTTTCCACTACTGGCATGGGAAGCCTTGATTCCTCGCAACACCAATGTCCTTTTGGCTACTTGGTCTGGAAGGCTTTGCTGCTGGAAATCCCACTGGTGGGCCTCTGACAAGTCTTGACAGAAGAGGGGGTGTCAGCAGAATTTAAAAATGATTCCTTTTGCAGAGAAGTTGGCTGACAAAAGAAATAGGAAAGCCTTAACCCTATGGGTGATATCAAAAGGATAAAAGCTTAATTATGTTAAATGAATTGCTATTCTAACATCTTTAATCTGAAAACATTTGCCTTCAGACTACTCCTGTTGGCAGTAAGGAACTTAAAAGCACAACCTCAGGTAGCTTTAAAAAAAAAAACAAAACAAAAAAGATAAAATGACCCTAGAGCTTCACACAGTTTTTGATTTTGGTAAAATGATCACTTTGCTCCTTTTTAACTCAGGAACCATTTGAGTTTAAGAAGCCAACCAAACCAGCTTCTCGTTCTTCTGTGCATGTGCATTCCCCTGCTGGAAATGGTGTTCCTGGACCAAGGCAGAATTCATCTCCAGCTCAGATAGTAAGTACTATAGTGTTCTTTACAACTAATTATCACCTGATCTTCTGCATACCTGGAGGTATGCAGAAGGGGAAGAAAAATTAAGAAGAAGAAAAATTGCATCATGTTCTAAGGCAGCACTGTTAGTCACCACTAATGTGTCAAATGGAAAAAATTGTCTTGCAGATAAGAGAACTTCTCACATTTGGCTTGTAAGATGATCAGGAGTTTGAAACATCGATTGTTCTGTAGTCTGAAAGATTAGTCATTACAGAGTTGGGTTTATGCTGCAGTAAATTAAGGGAGTGGATGTTGATGTGGAATAGAGGACTTTAGTTTATAATTGTTTTCACTATCAATAAAGTAAATAACTAAATTGGGGCAGATGCATTTAGAACAACTGTGTTGATGTGACTGGATCTTATGTCCAAATATGACATCCAGGAAGCAACTGAAAAGCCATGATGGGTCCTTGCACAGAAACAATGCTGGGGGACTAAGCCTTCCCTCTGTTCCTTGAATCAGTTGGTACTCTTGATCTTGTGTTTATCAGCTGCAGAGTTTATATTACCTCCTGTTCCCACTGACACCAACCGTTTCTTTCCATTGCACCTTCCCTGAATGGTGTCTTTCTCAGACGAGGATTATTGCTTAATGAGTCTAATGAAGCACTCTGCTATTGTAGGGATCAAATAGAAATATTGGAATTCAGTTTGGGGTTTGTTCAAGTCAGTGTACTCAAGATGGGGGAAAGCACCCCATGTTTTCTGTAATGTAGTAAAAGGCAAGGCACTGTCTCTGTGGTTATAGCTCTCTGCAGTAAATGGGAAGAGTGTTGTTAAAACTGTCTGTCTTGTCTCAGTTTCCCATGGGTGAAACACCCAAGGGTAGAAAGGAACACTGCAGCCCAGTTTTCCTGCAGAAGTCTTCTCTGACTTCCTCTGAAAGTGAAGATGATGATGGATTCCTGGAGTTGTTAGATGACCAAGATTTGAAGGTATGTACAAAGGAAATATGGGCATTTTGAAACTTGCTCTGTCTAATGTTAGTAGTCAGCTACAACATGTGTCTGTGGTGCACATATGTTCTAGCAGAAGTCAGTGTGGAAAGTCAGACTGCAAAAAGCTAGGTACTAGGGAATCATAGCAGGTGAGTTATCACCTTTTTCAATTCAGTTTCAGTGTCTCTATCTTATACATGCTCTTTCCTAGTGCAGACAGTGAGATTTACTTGGGGTGTGAACAGCAGCTAGTTTAAGAATTACTCCTGTTCATATTGGCTGTTGGGAATTGCACTACTAGAGGGAATTAGTGGAACAGTCAGCATTTTTCTTTGGAAACTTGCTAAAAGTGCTAGAAGTAAGATTTGCTTCTGAGCTACTTAAGCAGACTTTCTAATTGAATTTTAAATGCTTAAAGCTTTGAAGGAACATCATTGTTAATCAATCAATGAATTGATGTAACTTACCTTCTCCAACACATCTCTACTTGGTTCCATTATTTCATTGAGTATTGGACTAGTGATTGAGTTAAGTTCCTAAAACATCACTAACATGAATTCAACTGAAACACTGGCCCAAGCTGTATTTAGTCTCTGCCCACTGTGGAATAGATGAGAATGAACTTCCTTTTTTTTCCTCAGAACGATGAGGAGATGCCATCTGATGTGGCAAGCCTCTGGACTGCACCACTAGTCATGAGGAGGATGGACAATCGGGTGAGTGTCCTGTGGGAGCATAACAGAACAGAGATGGGCACTTTGTTCTGCAGCTGTTTTCACTGCTGGGAAAAGTGATCACATTGGCTCTGGTCCTGTGTCCCTAAAAACAACAGAATAAGATATGACATAACCCCCCTTCAGTGTTCTGTTATCTCTAAAGACTGTTTAGCTGAAAGGCTTTGTCAGTGTGGAACAATACTCATTGTGTGCATATATATGCATTAACTTTCTTTTTCCAAAGCTACTTCATAAATGCAAGATGATCTTGACTTCCCTTATCAGATACTTATTGACTTATCTTGAATGCATCCAGGGAATCCCTGTAGCCAGATAGTCTGACAAGAGACTGTGAAGGGAGGCTAGATTCCAGCAAAAAGCTCCTTAATCTGCTGATAAGTTGTCTGTTAATTGGTATAAACACTTTGCCAGCACTTGATATTGCTTCTGGTGCTCCAGACTCACCCAGCCTGCAGGGCAAGAAATAAGTGTTACTGGAAATGTAGGTCCTGAATTTAGATGACCCTGTTAATATCCCATTGTTGCTGTGCTGTGACAGTGTCTTCAATAAAGCAAAATTTGTAATGGCCTGAAAGTCTGAGGCTTGCTTAGTTTCCAAGCTTAGTTTTTGCTAGACAACTCTTCTTCTTCCTCGTAGGCCAAACGATGCCAGCTGTTTGGCTCTTCATCTCTGCCTAGTGGTGTAGGAAGAACCACCCAGAAAAGGATGGAAAGATCCCAGGAAGAGAACACTCCAGGGAAAAACAAGAGGAGGAAAAGCCTGACTGAAACAGCTTCTGAGGACTCAACGGTTAGTGGCTTGGCATCCAGTTTTGTAACAGAATTGATTAAGAGGGGATCTAATATAAGTGTCTAGCTGGTGAAGGTTAATGAGAGAGCTTTTTTCAGGTGAATTGCTGACCTAGCAAAACTGCATTCTCTCTTCATAGTGAGGAGATTTGGGGGAGCTGGTGCAGCAATTGCATGCTCCTGAGTCCGAGTTTCACCTTAATCCAAAGGGGATGCTGGGGAGTCGTAGTTCAGGGCTTCGGAGTAAACTCAGTTTTACGTTATGTTGTGGGAAAAGGATCTCTCTGCTGTCAGTGCTCAGCATTGATCTCTAACCCGTTTTCCTCTAGAATCTGGAAATGGTGAAGACACAATGCTCCACAGCAGAGATCGAAAACATTTTGGATGGTGACCAGGCAGACCTTATTGGTGACTTCTCAAAGGTAAGGATTTAATGGTCAAGTGTTAATTCGGTATTTTAATGGCCTCTCTTACTGGAGATGTCTCAAAGCAGCCCAAATAAAGCAAGTCCCTTCAACAGTGCATATTCCAGTTATTGGGAAAGTATGTTGGCTAGAAGGGCTCTTGTCTGCAATTTGACTGTGTTACAAAATACACAGTTGCTGGACACTGTGCTATGGCCTACCTTTGGAATTTTCTCATTTGAATGCTGTCTGTCTTACAGAGTTATTTATTCCGCACTGTTGATGGGAAACATCAGGACTTGAAATATATCGACTCAGAAATGGTAAGTGCTCCAGGGACAGTAAGAAAAAATCTTTACTGGGGGGAGCAAGACAAGAACATCTTGAAACACCTGAACTCTGGAGGGGGTTTGTGGAGTTCTATCTTTCTTTTTTTTTTCTAGATGGTGTCTGTGCTGACTGGGAAGTTTGCAGACTTCATCAAGGAATGTGTGATAATTGATTGCAGATACCCATATGAGTATGAAGGAGGACACATCAAGGTATGTTGGCCCTGTAAGAGTAACATGGAGTTGTCATAAGTTGCAAACTGGGGTCACTTGGCACCATGGGGGCTGCTCTTCATTCAAGAGCATCCAAGGCCATGTGGGTGTGTTACAGGCTATCTGTAATGTTCTGCTTGGGTTTGATGCTGTCTTCCCAATGCTAGAGAGGGCTGCCAGAGCCCCTCTGGGAAACTTAAGCTAAACTGCTTGCAAGGAAGTGGGATGGGCTCACTACAATCATCCACTCATTCCATGTGCTTGTGCATTACAGGGTGCTATAAACTTACATATGGAAGAGGATGTGGAAAACTATTTGCTTAAGAAGCCAATCAAGCCATCGGATAACAAACGAGTGATAATAGTATTTCACTGCGAGTTTTCTTCGGAGCGGGGTCCTCGAATGTGAGTTATCTCACACTCCTCTATATGGAAACTTGTTGCTGTGCTAGCTGGGAGCAAAGCTTTTGGGTGCCACCAGTTACTATGCTGGTGTGCCACTTAATAAGCACCTTATTGTGAGTAGCTGTTGGTTGTCAGCTCTGGCTGGGAGGTAGCACAGCCCATGGTGGGAAAGGGCATATTGGAGTTGTGCTGGCACAAGAGGTGGAAATGAAAAACAGGTGAGCTGCAGCAGTGGCTTACTTCTGTAATCCCAGGAATGGGAAGTTTGGGGTGAGAGCTGTTTTCCTGTGGTGTTTGTTGAGTGCAAGATTTAATGCAGGGTTTTTTCCTGTGGCAGGTGCCGGTTTGTGAGAGAGCGGGACAGGCTGGGTAACGAATACCCCAACCTCCATTACCCAGAACTGTACATCCTGAAAGGGGGTTACAGGGACTTCTTCTCAAGATGCCGTGTAAGTAACATTCACTTAAATTCATCTCTTTCACACTTGGAGAAGAAACAATGGGTAAACAATACTGATGTATTTGTACTGAATAAGGCTGCCTTTGGAGTAGGACATTTTTTGCCAGGGGTGCTTTTCCTCCTCTATTTCACTGTGGTCTCCCATACTGAGAGTAATTAGAATTTGGTAGTGAGGCACTTGAAGTCTGTTCCATGCACCAGAGCTGTTTTGCTGCTATAGCTGAAAGGTTTTCCCACTTGTCTCAAGACAAGACATAGTATAAAACTGGTTTCTACCCTAGCATAACAGCCAGGAGGTCAGAATGTCATTTGGAGAAGGAATTTCAGACTACTCGGCCTGCAAGGACTGGAAGAGAAGGCAGCCCTGACAGTAATTGCTGATAACAGCCCTGAAGTCTCACACTGAGATAACAAAGTGGAAAATTTGAGCTTTGTGTTTTCAGCATCTAATTCAGAAAAGGAAACTAAAAAATGCTCAGCAGCTCTCCCACCAGCATTGTAGGGATGGTGCTTCCTGTATCCCTTGGCTTCTGCTGCCTTGGCATTTCAGAGGCTGTACTGTCCTTCTCCAGCTAGTCCTTCCTGTGCTTCTGAGTGTAACGAAGTTGTGTCCTGACAGTTGCTTTAGCTCCTTTTGGACCCCTGCACTGTAGAGTAGCTCTTAGATTACCTTCACGTTCTGTGACCTGTGTGCTTTCCGGGAGATGCAGGGTGTTCTTTCCCAGTGGCATGTTGGCTTTTCCAGCCTTTGGGATGCTGCTGTTCATGGTAGGGAGTGCTCCTCCTGGGTTTTGGTGCTCCCTGTGACCTGATGGTTCCCCTGTGGCAGCGGGTGCACCTGGGTTTGGTTCTGGGGCCCGTAGGTGCCCCCTTCTGAGGTGGAAGGACCAAGGGCCTCAAGGTGGCAGCATGAAACAGCCGATGGCAGCTCCTATGTGCGCCAGGAGCTGCTTGGTTTCTGGTTCAAGTATTCTTTAAAACTTTGCTATTCCAAGGTGAATGCTAGATAGCCTTAGTTTATGTATTGATGTCTACTAGAAAATCTGGGTGAGAGCTCTGCACACAGGGCTGGAAATCCTTCATTTAATAGCTGTTATCCCTCCAGAAGTAGCTGTAGTCTGAATATCAGTAGGTTTTATTCATGAGTGTCTGGTATGAAGGTCCTGTATAGAGCCAGGGGAGGGTGGTCTCTTTCTGTTTGTTATGATGGTAGTTGTTGGAACAGTTGCTGGCAGGTTCTGTCAGGGGGTCTCAACAAGGCCATCTCTCCTGTGAGACCACCATAGTGAAAACAGCTGCTCTTTCCCCAGAGTTTCTGCGAGCCCCAGAGCTATCGCCCCATGCACCATGAGGACTTTAAAGAAGACTTGAAAAGATTCCGCACCAAAAGCCGAACCTGGGCTGGCGAGAAGAGCAAAAGGGAACTGTACAGTCGCCTGAAGAAGCTCTAAAGGCTGAACTGAACTTACTGCAAAGACTGCCTGTTCGGGGGGGGAAGCTGCAGCAGGAGGGAGAAGAGTCTGTTCCTGGCTTGTAATGATCAGGCACTGGCTCTTTCCTCATCTGTCATCTCACTGGGAACACCCTGGAACTTGGGGCTGCAGGCTTGAACCCAGCAACTGGGATGCTGTCTGGGAGCTGATTCTGATGACTATTCTCATTACACTCCATTTTGGAAATGGCTTCTTGTGTTCTGCAGCATCCACAAAGTTCAACATCCTGCCCAGGGAGGGGTGGGGAGGCTGCTAAGTGCCATGCACGTGGGCTACGTGCTATAAGCAGGGAAAGTATTTTAGTGCCTGTTGGGATTTATTTTGTTTGTTTTAATGCTTTATTTTTATTTAAATACAGTCAAATGAAGCTAATGCTGCTGCAGTTGAATCCTATGAATTGTACTTGCACTGTGTTTCTGCTAAAGGGCAGCCTGCTCGTGGGGGGTGTTAATTTTCTCGGCTGCAGCTTTGATTCCGTGGTTTTCTAGTGTAATGCGTCGTGGTGAAGAAAAAATGGGAAATGGTTCATTACAGGTAGAGGTTCCCAGGTCACTGAACTCCTGTGTTCTGCTCTGGAAGCCTCATAGACAGTCTAAGGGAAAATTTCTTATTGTACTTAAATATGTTCACCTCCCTTTCTTAGATTGCTTTATTTCATAGCAATTTGAATTGGCTGCTCCTTTAGTTCTAGTGCTGGTCTTTCAAAGTAGGAAGAAATTCTGGGAGCTGAGGTGTCTCGTGTGATCCCAGGAGGGCCAGGTCCTGAAGCTGTTCCCAGGATTCCCGGCAGCAGCAATTTACTGTGGCTGCTCCCACTGAGGCTGTGTATTATTATCATGAACCGGGTCCAGAAAAGAGCTCAGCTGTGAGGAGCCATGCTAATGATCCTGCTCTGGGAGGCTGCTCTGAAACCACTCTGCTTTGACTTCAGCTGCTTCTCCAGTAGCAGAAGAACCTTCTGCTGGGAAAGGCAGGAAATAGAATTGGTTCCTAACGGAACAGTGTGTTGTACCCTGTAGCTGAGCCCTACAAAGTGAAGCAGGAACACATGCTTCTATGGCACAACAGTGCCTGAACAGCTTTGCTGCTGCTTTTGGTGAACGAGTGGTTTCGGGGTAAGGCCAGCTGCTTGCTGCAGCAATGCTGTGATGATTACTGTAGCTTATCTTCCTCACACATGAACTTCTTGGTAGAAGTGATGCTCCTGAGGCCTGGCACACAGCCTAGGAGCAGCCACGCATCCAGGAAGCTCATGGCTCTTTAGCAGAAATCCATGCTTTGCACAGCTTGGCTTGCTCCCCACACGTGAGTCCTGTATTTGTACCTGTGTCAAAAAAAAATACTGAAATGGAGGTGACTTGTGTGGAATTTTAACTTGATTTTTTTAAAACTCCTTTTTAAAACTCTGCTGTTAACCTTGAGGGCTGCACGGATGAACCATGAACTTTCTCATTTAAAAAAAAATAAATTGGATTTTGCTGCCTTCCCTCAAAACTGATGACCTGGAAGGGGGAGGAGATGCAATGCAGAATTATAAGGGTGATGGCCACATCTCACCTGGAAAATCTGAACGCCTGGAAGAAGCTGGGAGGTGCAAAGGGCCTGTGTGGTGGGGGGAGGCTGGCTGCTGATGCACCCAAGCTCTGCCAAGCCTTGGTGGTAAATTATCAGTTCAGCAAACTGATGTCTGGGCGCAACTTTGTACATGAGTAGCTGCTCTGTGTGAAAGTTTGATGCACCAGTTGTTTGAGAAAAGCAGAGGGAGACCTGATGCTCTTCTCTGAGATCACTCAGGTGGATAAAAACTTTTTGGCAATCTCTGGCTTTACACTTGCACTTCCTGTGAATGCTCCTGACCCAGTTTGTCATCCCAAACTTACTGATATTTAGGAAATTGAAGATGGATGGGAAGCCCCCAGCAGTACTGGGGGCCAAGAGCCACAGCTTGTGCTTTAAGGGCTCAGCCATGCCTGTTAACCCTGTGGAGATGGATACAAGACCCCTCTTTATACCCCTCTAGTTCTGTGTGTGCTGTCTTATTAGGAATTGGGGTGGGGGGGAAGGAAAAGGCTGCAAGCTGCTTCCAAACAGCATCTGTGCCGTATCGCCCCACAACTGATATACACTTCAGGGGTCTAAGAGAATAAAGTACTTAAAATCCAGACGGTTTGTCTAACTCAGCTAGTCTCACAGCAGGTGTGCTGGTGAGCTGCTCAGCTTCACCATGGCTTGAAAAGAACCCCTTCCTTGGTGATGGCCTTTTTTGGGATATTTGTGTACCTGTAGCTAGGCAAGAAGCGCTCACAGCCTTGTGCAGGAGCCCAGGATCCTGGCAGGGCTGGATGGAGCTGGGAAGGCCCAGTTCAGGCTCAGTCTTTAATCACCCAACTGACCTGGGCATAGTAGGGTGGCAGCCATCTGTATTTCAAGGTAGCGTGTTTCCAGCATCCTATCTATGCTGTGGAGAGTTGCAGCTCATTTTTGGATGAGGATCCTTGTTTGTGCTGGATGCTTTCCCAGTGGAGCACCTGAGAGGGCTGTTTTGTTAAGGATGTTAATGGCTTCCGCAGAAGGCATGGGGATGAAGAGCAGGTGGCCAACAATGGGGTCAGCATTAAAAGCCTCACTTAAAATAAGCAATGTGGCTTCAAATCCACTGGAGGCTAAAGCAGAGAACTGGGTAGGTTTTATTTTCCTTGCCTCCATCTGTCATCCTTAAAACTGATGTTGAAAGCAGCTTAAGGTTGCATCAGCTTTTACCATAGGCTCCTGCATGCTGCAACACTTCGTGTTTTTATATTGCTTTACCATTTGTGGCCTAAAAGGATGCTTGTGATATACAACAGTATCATAGAATCGTGGAGTGGTTTGGGTTGGAAGGGACCTTAAAGCTCATCCAGTTCCAACCCCCAACGGAGGGCTGTGCAATGGTAGTTCCCAGCCTCTTGGAGCCTCTTCCTGCATCCTGTGCTGCCAGCTAGGGCAGGATTCCTGGCAGGCAGCTGCCCTCTCTTCCCCACATGCAGCGAAACCCAGCAATTGTCAGAAGTTATTTGTTAAGTGAAGCTGCCCCCACCTGAGGCTCTGCCAGGCCAGGAGGAATTAGCCTGGGGCAGGAGCACAGAGTGTGTTAAGTCTGCCTGGCACCCAGCATCGTGAAAGGGCAAAGGAGGGTGCTTTGTAAGGGCCCAAGTGCTACCGGCTTGCATTGAGGCAGAGGGGCTCAAATGATCAGCTACAACTGTGCAAAGCATTTGGACACTGGCCTGCGTGACCTGCCTGTCTTTAAACTGGAGAGATGCGGATTTGATGGGTGGACCACTCAGTGGGTAAGGAATTGGCTGGAGAGTTGTGCTCAGAATTGCAGTCAAGTCTGAAAATCTTGGCTTTACCTTGACACAGGCAATGCTTTTTGAAGACAATTCATAGAATCAACTAGGTTGGAAAAGACCATTAGGATCAAGTCCAACCATTACCCCAGTTCTACATGTGGCTTTTCTGGGCAGACACTGCTTTGTTAAGAAAACCATTGGCTTCTCATCTTGCCATTGGCTTTTAGTGACAAGTGTGACTAAGCTGTCCCCTGGTGAGCTGGTCCATGGGTGGCAGTGCCGCATAATTCCTGCAAACATTAGTACCAGGATCTGGCCAGACTGTCATTTGGGATTCCTTTGAAGTGGAGCTGGTCAGTGGCTGCTCCCATGGGGATGTTCCTCCTGCTGTGGCACAACCCAGTGCCCTGTAAGCCCTCTCCTGTATGAGTTGACTCTGCTGTGTCATATCCAACCTCACTTCCCTCTGGTCCACCGGGGCCACACAGGGACGTCCTGCCATTGCCTTATTCCCTGCTCTGCATTGGGCACAGTTTCATCCCATCTCCAGGGCTGGAGCAGGGGAGGGTCAGGGGATGGTCCCAGCTCCTGACTCTGCACTAGTTCCTCTATTTCAGTGTGGCTCTGCCCCTGGGAGAGGGGCCCATTGCCCTCCCTTCCGTGGGAGCAAGAAATGGAGGCTGCCAGCCTGGGTGGAAGGTCGTCGTTAGAGGTCACCAAATCCAGGCAAAGCTGGAAAAGAAGCTAATCTCCTGCTGTCGAGCCAAGCTTCAGGAGTGCTGGAGAAAACTCCGGGTGCTGGTGCCAGCCCTGGGCCTGGTAGCGGCTGCAGCGTGGCTGCATAGGGAAGGCATGCTGGAGGCTGGGCTGGCTCAGCACTGTGGCCCCAGGGAATGGGGCACCAGGCACAGCCACCACGATGCTCCCACACTGTGGCTCTCACCGACTGCACCCCTGCATCTCCCTTCTGGGACGGGGCACAGGCACAGCTCTGTGGTGTCAGTGCCGGGTGTCACTGGGTCCCCCCATGCTCCCTGTGGGCCCACCTTGGAGCTGAGGGGCCAGGGCACCTGCTGCCTCTTAAGGCTGCTCTGGGCTGATGAATCAGCTGCCAACCTGCGCAGCTGTGCTCAGCAGGCAGTGGCACACTGAGGTCCCGGGGTGGGGGGCACAGAGCGTGTGTTCAATGTTAAGGAATAACAGGGTTTCCCCAGCAGTGCCCTGTGCTCTTCCGTGCTGGCACCAGGGCTGCTGACGCCCTCCGTGCAGCTCTTGCTGTTTCACTGTCAGGCGGCAGCCCCAACTCTGCCCTGTGTCTTGTTTTAGGTGCACAAAGCTGAGAACAGAAGGCACCAGGGAGACCTTAGAGCAGCTTCCAGTGCCTGAAGGGGCTGATGAGAAAGTTGGAGAGGGGCTTTTGACAAGGGCAGGTAGGGACAGGACAAGGGGGAATGGCTTTAAACTGGGGAGGAAGGGCCGGTGTGCAGGGGGGAGGCAGCCCCAAGGCACCTCCGTATCCCATCCAGGCTTTGCTCCTTGGCTTCACTTCCTGTAACAGGCCTGTGCTCACAAGAGTTTCAAGATGGAGCAGAGCCTTGTGCGCCTTTGGGGAAGGGATGTCACTGAGTCACCCACAGCTTGGACACTTGGGCCAGTGCAGGTCTGCCTTTGGGAACTTGATGTGCCTTGGGGGACAGGCAGTGGCTACAGACAGGATGTGCTGGCCCCTGGGTGGGGAGTTTCTGCTTTCCACCCACAGAAGACATGTCCCGTTTGTTTCTGTTGGATGAACTCTCCAGCAACGTTTGATGGGGCTTCAGGATCAAGCAAGGAGCCATAAAAAGGGAGAATAACATTAAAAGAGGAAAGTGGAAGGAGGCCAAGAGGAACACATCCAAGTGCCCTTTCCTTCTTTCTCTTTCGCTCTGTGCGGGAAATCCCGGAGACCATGTGCTGTGTCTCATCCCTGTGCCAGGCGAGACATGGCCCTGACCCTGAACAGCTCTGCCATGAGACAGGAGGGTCCCTGATGGCAGACTGGGGGTTCTGGGGGTGGGTCAGCCAGAGGAGAGGGGCCCAGGGCAGGAGCTCCCATCTGGAGTCAGGGTGAAACTGTGCTGCAGCTTTCGCTCCACTTCAGTGGATGTCTGCACAGGGTGACTTCTGCCATTGCATCTCTGGGGATGGGACAGGAAGGTTGGCTCCCAGTGGGATGGATGTGTGGTGGCGGCAGAGGAGCCCTGTGGTTGGATCCAGGGTGTCTCCACAGAAGGAATTAAGCAGGGTGGGGAAGGAGACAGAGGCTACTCTGCGGTGACTGGGATTAGCATGTGCAAACAACACCGCAGGCCATTGCATAAACCTCTTCAAACAAGTGCCGGGTGCCACGCGAAGATACAACCCCCACAGTACACCATAACCAGGTTTCCTGCACTGGGCAGTGCCCTCCCCACGTGCTGTGGCTCACTAAACCCTGCACAATTAAACTCTGGTCCTGGTGGTGGGTTGGGAAGCGTGGCTGGAACCTGGGGGATGCTGGCAGCTGCCCTGAAGACCAACCCGTGTGCCATCAGGCCTCCGTGCCATCCAGCATGGATCATCTGCTGCAGCTTGGTGCTGCATGGAGGCACCCCAAGGAGCTGAAGCCCCTTTGTGGGCGCCGGCTCCTCGTGGCAGGAGACGGCCATGGCCTGCCCCTGGGAGAGGGCAGTGCTGCGGTGGGAATGTGGGGCTGTGGGGTGTGCCCTGGGAACAGCCCCTGGGCTGTGCACTAATGAGGGATGGTCCAACCCTGGCTCTGTGTGACACTGAGCAACACCGTAATTAGAAGGTGCCAAGGCTGCTGCGGCTCATCCCTGCTTCACCTCTGCTTCCTCCTCCTGCCATCCTCCTGCCCAGGGCAGAAGTCCCATCAGCAGGAGCTGGGCCCACGCAGGTCTTTGACTCCAGCCACCACCCACTGCAGCCCTTCTCAGGCAGGTTAAAGAGCAGAGGCATGCTCTGGGAGGCAGCACTAGGATGGATTCAAACCTGTCCCACCACCGGGTTAAACAGTTTGGTGTGCAGCAAGGTCCATGAGGAATCCCTGTGCTCATGGGAGCTCTCCAGGCATCACCTCAATCCCAGGAGACGTGGGATCTGTCTCTGCAGAGCAACCTGAAGTGCATTTGGGCCTTTCCTGGGTGCAGTTGGTGCTTTGCATGAGGAGGGGCTGAGTTTGGTCCTGGCTGTTATCCTGTCGCTGCACAAGGAGGAGCTGTGCCCCAAACTCCACACTGGGAACAGCTGGCCACAT